GCGATGAGGGAAGAGTGATGGGGAAATATTTTTCTTCCCATAAGACTTTTTTCACTGACCTTCAGTAGTTGCTCCCTCCAATCATTTATGCCTATCTATATATGTCTCTGTCTTCATCTCTATATAAAATAATCCCATCACCCAAGCAACCAAACAAAAAAGCAATAACTTCATTTAATCTTCACCAGAACAGACTTTGATTCTACTTATAAGTGCATTCCACAGTATTAGAAGGATGCTATCTAGGTTAGAAGCCTTTTCACACATAAAATCCATCCTCTGTCCATAAGGGTGTCTTATGGTCTATCCAATTTAGGGCTAACCTGAAATATTTCACAGCCTGATGTGGATTTGCAATTAGCACCCCACCTAAATTTACATCCAGAATACATTACTTTGTTTTCAAACCCTACTCACCTTTTGGAAAATACTTGTATCTAAGATATTAATTTTCCTGCTTTTTTTGGAATGCAGCAACATTTTATTTTGGAATTATTACCTCACCTCCCAAAGATCTCACATGATCATTGTGGGAACAGTTCTCCAGAATGTTTGAATAAACCTATGTAAGCAAAGAAAAAAAAGAAACCTTCCAAAACATATTTGTAAACAAAACTGCTATAAACTCTTAGAGGCATATGGTAAATCCACATGCTTTCTGCGTCAGATATATAAGAGAAATTACCACTTGAATCCAATGGATATTAAAGTCAGCTTATACTTTATCCATGCAGCAGAATTGAGTGCCAGAAGCTAGTTGCTGTTGTGTTCAATCTGTTGCACTCAAAACAGTCTTTGAGTACCCTTAAAGACCAGTTAATTCATTATAGCACAAGATGTTGAGGACTATGATAATTTCATAATTAGTTGCATAAAATAATAGCCTTGAAATTCAAGTATATAGAGATCCATGACTGAAGATGATAAACAGAGCAATTCCTAACAGCTCCATACACCTCTCACATCCTTTAGTCCCACAGTGTTTATTCAGGAGTAGAGAAGAACCAACTAGGTTTCTAATTCCCACAGGTAAGTGATGAGCCCACCTTCCATTTCTCTGCCTGCAACATAATCCAAGTAGTTCAAACTACAGTAAAATCATAATTAATAATTATAAATGATTTTGAAGTTATAATTAGGAATCCAGTCCAGTGCACAACAATTAAAGTTGTTAAAGTAAAAGGCAGTGAAGATAAACAGTGAAATTAAAAAAAAAACAGCATAGAAACAAATTTTATACCAAGAGAATTGTGTAACAGCGAAGCAAACAAAAAGACACTAGAATCCCTCAAGCATTCTGTTATGTTTTTGGGGCTTGCTAAAAATGGATAAGGTGGGTTAGACATTTTGCCATAACCATGACAGATCAATGATCAGGGCTTTACATATTAAGGCGTAGCCAAGGAAAAGGACTGGTAACAGCAGGATCCACTTAGGGAAGATAAAAATTAATAAAGCTGTGGCTAAACCTCTCCTCTTGGAATTGTAATTTTAAGTGTCTGAAAGGGATGTTTTTGTTAGTAAACAAGTTGTGATCAATTTGTTAAAAATTCTGTAGTGGGCTATAGATTTAAAAGTTGATTACTTACATGGACAGATTCTAAGATAAAGCTAAGCAAACAGAAACAAAATAAGAACAATTACCTACCCCTCAACTCAACACAGGTTTGGATTTGCCAACTGATATATCTCATTGCAAAAATTATCAGTTTAAATGCACAATGATTATCTCCCATCAGAACGGTCATTTTGTGTAATGCACATTCATGCATCATGATTATTAGAAAAGAATTGCAAATGACATTTAATTATGTATCGCACAAGAAGCTTTGAGCCACTTCAAATCAGGCACCCACATGACCATGAAAGCATGCAAGAGAACTGAAATAAATGGAAAATAATATGAAACTTAAGATCTGCACCACGCAATTTTACTTCTCCAGAAGACCATCCTTTATGATAGAGGTTCCTAAACCTTTTGCCTTGAGTGTAGTCTTAAAGTATACCCCCCCCCTAAAAATCCATACACAGAAAAGAACACAAATGAACAATGAAAACAAAACTTTAGGAAAGGTAGATTTATTGTAACAATATAATGAAAAAGTTTCTCACACCTCCCCTGAACTCTTGTCTGCACCTTTCCCAGGAAGATATACCTCATGGTTTGGGAAACCCTGCTTTATGAGGTAGCTCTAAATCATGTGTGTCATAATTCTTTTCTTTGGACCAGCAAGACACAATGTCAGTAACACAGAAACCCTTGATGAGAAGGCTTGTGGTTTGGATGTATCCTTCCTTTCTGTTTCAATTTTTTTTTTAATTTAAAAAAAATACAAAGGACAGAGACAGGAGAAAAAGAGAGAGACGCTTTCAAAATCCTTTGCAGCAAAAATCGGTATAAGTACAATTACAAAATTATCTCTTACTCTATGATTACTATTTTTCTTGACCACGTTTTTCCTAATTATTAAAACCAGCAATCATAAATGCATTTTTTTCTATTTCGTGAATAAGTTGTGTACAAAAAGTCTATAAGGGGTTTCCAGTGAACTAATGAAATTAATTTAGCTATCTCTGCAAGTTCCATTATTTTCATCAACCATTCCTCCGTTGTAGGTTGATATACTATTTTTGAGCATATAATAGTCTCACTGTTGTTTTCATATATAAAAACAAGCTTCCATGACTTTTTTTTTCTAATGCTCATCCATGAGTCCCAACAGGCCTTTTCAAAAGTGTTAACTGTTTAATTCTAAGGAGTGTCACTCCTTTATAGAGCAACATGGCCTCTAAGGTCATGTTCTGAGGTTGCTTTCCAAGTACCCCTGCCAAATGATTTAAAAAAAAAATCAGTGGTGCTACCTGGATTGAGGTATGTCCTTCTCTTCTTGGAAAAGTTCCAATGATGCTTACGCTATAGTCTACAGTGGGTCAAGTGGGGACATTTTTATTCTCCCAGGCTGCTTAGCCTTTTAATATTTTGCTTTAAAAGTTATTAGCATCATTTAGATTATCCCATTCCTATTAGCCTCCCCTAGCTGTTTATTTTGGATTCATTCTGAGGCTGTTTTATTTGTTTAGTGCTTTGCATTAAGTTTTATTATATCTGTATATTTATGGTCTCCACCATTAATTTCTGAAGTGCCCAGAGAGCTTTGGCTATTGGATGGTGCAGAAATTCAGTAAATAAATAACTACATTTGGAGAATACCATGGGGCAACGTTTTATAGTATGAACAAAAACAGCTTGCATCAAAGAAATGTTCCTTCCTCTTACACCCCTATAACAGATGATTAGCAAGAGTGGATTGACTGGCTTGAAATTATTTTCCTTAATCCTCTTCCTGAAAGGAAAAGAAGATCTCTTTTCCTGGGTTTCATTTGGCGGAATTTCCAAGCAGAATACCCATTTCCTGGCAGCGGTGCCATAATTTCAGACTCAAATTAAAGCAGCAACATTTGCTTGGCATGCATTCCAATTGCTCTTTCCTCCTCCAGAACCTACCTCAACTGGAATGAAATTGCATCAAATCCTATGGAAAAGGTAAATGCAAAGAAAAATGCCAGGCTCCTGCTGCCCTCGTTGATTTAAGAATCATCTTTCTGGACACTCCCTGCAGGGCAACCTACACAATTCCTCTCAGACTGCTGAGATGGCAAAATGGCAAGCTTTCCAAGGAGTTCTCCATGGCAACCTGAAAACAACTCTTTAACCATTACTTTGACCTTCGCCTTCAGCCTTTTGAATTGTCCTGATTTCATGCACGTGTGAGCAGAGGTAATAATAAAAATGATATCAAAATGACATTATTCACTTTCATTACAGCTGGGAGGCTCTGAGAACTAAGAGAACTAGGAACCTCTGTCTTAGTTCAGTTTTTATAGTTTTAAATGGTTTTAAACCATTATTATATGATGGTTTTGGATAATGACTTCTGTATATTTCTACTTTTTTATTGGATTGTTGTACGCTACCCAAAATCGCATTCTGTGAAATGGGTGGCCATATACATTTGATTAAATGAATGAACAAATCAATGACCAGAACAGGGCATCCGCACATGATAAGATGGTAAGATGGAGCTTGCTTTTAGAAATCAGAGTTAAGCAGTTCTGCTTTCTCTCTGTTGCCTGTTACTTCCTTGCCATCTTCTCTCTTTAGTGGACCGGCTGTTTCCTTGATTTTTTTTCTTGTTATTTATATGTTGGAAGAAACTTTTTTTTAATTATCTTTGACTTTTGTTGCAAGTCTTTGTTCGTTCTGAGCCTTTGCTATCCTGACTTCGTCTTTGCAGATTCTGTCTATCTGCTGATATTCTGCCTTAGTTGTATGTCCTTCTTTCCATTTTTTGTACTTGTCCTTTTTTTCTTTCAATCGGGGTGGGCTGCTGGGGATTCGCAGGGGTTTGGGAGAGCCCCTAGCTATGATTCTGTGCAGTTTGGGGAATCCCCAAATCCCACTCCTGGCTGGCCCTGCCTACCCTACCCCACTAGTCCCAGGAGTCCACACAGGGCCCCTTTTGGATGTAAGTAAGTGCAGGGCTTGGGGAGGGCAAAAAACGGGCCTCCCAGAAATTCAGGAAGGTCGGAAATGGGCCTGTTTCTGGATTCCAGAGAGCCTGCGGAGCCTGGAGAAGCTGTTTTTGCCCTCCCAGAGGCTTGAGGAAAGCCTCCGGAGCCCAGGGAGGACAAAAATCCCTCCCCGTCGTGATGCAGGAGGCCAACTAGGCCATGCCCATCATGGCCATAGCCAACCAGCAACCAGGCAGAGAACCCTTTGCTAAAATTTTTGAAGCCCACCCCTGACCATGGGGATTTTGAAATGGTCATAAGTCTCTTTTTTCAATTGTAACTTTGAATGGTCACTAAATGAAGTGTTGTAAATCAAGGTCTACTTGTATATGTTAGTTTAGTGAAGATCATGTTAAACCAAAGGAATAGGAAAAAGGAGCCCAAGACAGGGGAGACAGAAGAGGCCACTCAAAGATTTACAAACTTACCTTAATGTTGTCTTGCCATCGATGGGCCTTCTGAAACTTCTCTGCCTCATCAGCCAGCCTCTGAAATGAAAGAGGAGAAATAGTATGAGTCCATAAAGAGATAACATGAATTGCAGTAATGACCAAGGACTCCTTTTAACTCTGCTCTTTCACACGGGAAACCAGCTATATCGTTCTCCCAGCTTATTAAGTAGCAAAGCATTTTCAGTACCCTTACTTGGCAGCTCAGCTGTGAAAAGACATTAATTAAAAATTTATGATTTCCATAAACATCTTCTATATGCAGCTCTGATCTTTCTTAATTAAATGCTCAAGCTATTGGAAAACCTTGCCTTTCGTTACTTTTATGGGCTCATTTTACTTCTGTGTCAGTGCAGTGCAGTGCTTCTATGTACAAATGAAAGTAAATAAATTACAATCGGTGGCATACTGAGTGCAGTGGAAAAGCCACTCTTCAGAACTCTCATGTTCAAAGTCCAAACCTTGAGGCCCAATTGATTAATTGATGAGGTTTGAAGCGGGCTAACATGTTGTTTTAATTTTTGAGTTAATAATATTGCCTTGATAGGTTTCATGCCTTGCAGTGTCCTAACAATATAAGTATGATCGGAGAAGAAAGAAAAGTATCAAACAGTCCTTCTATCCACCAGTCAGCCTGGAGCTGGGCAACACCACACAAACAACTCAGCCCTGCACATTCCCCCCAAAATTGGCTTGCTAAAATAACTATTTGATAATAGCTACAAGGCCATAAACTAATATGATTCCAGCCTAAGTAGGAAACAATAAGTCTTTTGCTGGCTACAGCCTAAGAATTGTAAGTGGATGTGGATGGTAGTCAGTTGTGGCTCCCTTAAACCACGGCTAAAGGAAAGACCTGTGGTTCCCTAGGCTGTTATGCAGCTGTATAGAACACTTTAAGACAGGGGTGTCAAGCTCAATTTCATTGAGGGACGCATCAGGGTTGTGTTTGGACCTTGGAGGGCTGGGGCTGGGCGTGGCCATGATGGGCATGATCAGGGATGGGCGGAGGCATCTGTGGTAGCCAAGTGCTAAGGCAGGACTTCCCTGAGACCCTCCCTCACTCTTATTATAATCCCCTTCCTTCCTTCCTTCCTTCCTTCCTTCCTTCCTTCCTTCCTTCCTTCCTTCCTTCCTTCCTTCCTTCCTTCCTTCCTTCCCCTTCCCTCTTTATTCTCCTTTCTTCTTCCTTCCCCTCTTTCTTTATTTTTCCTTTCTTGCTCTCCTTCCATCTTTTTCTTTGTCTTTCTTTTTTCCCTTTCTCCTTTCCTGTCCCTTCTTGCATGCTCAAATGCAAAAGGAAAAATATTTCTCCTTTTGTTTTGCTTTTAGTTTGTTTTGATAGCCCGCTGCCAGCGAAAACAGAACCTGGAGCGGGGGGCAGCCCCCACACACCCCATTTTCGGCTGCGACGGCATTGCTGTTCAATGGTAGGGAACAAGAACTCAGGTAGCATTCTAAACAAGATTTTCTTACAATCACGAGCTTCAAGCAAGAGCATTTAAAGACAGCCCGGCTAGTTCTATTCAAGTTGTATTAACATTCAAGGATATTAATGCATGAGTATGAAATATAAAAGAAACAAATTGTTTTCCCCCACCCATTCACACAACACACATAAACACATATACACATGCATGTGAGGGTTGGATTGTCTAATAGCTAATGTGCTAGATTGGGAGCACAGAGACTGCTATTCCACATTGCTCAAGCAAAGGTTCTGCATAAACAAAGCATTTTTTTTCTCCCTCTTAGGCATGAAACGCACACTTATAATCAATGCATGCGTCTCCGGTTCTTTAGAAATATCAACACCTTTCAGAATGGCAATTATCCCAAAGGAACATGCAACAGTCATAAACTCAATTTAGAACAATATATCACAAGATTCCGTAAAAGAAAACAGAGTGTCTGTAAAATATACAAGCATTAACCTGAGGCCAGCCAAAACCACGCTTTCTAATATTCAAATTAAAAATGAAGAAAAATATTTTTCTTTGATGCTGCAGAGATTTTTTTCTCTCTCAAGTCAATGCAATATTGCAGCTTGGACTTTCTCAATAAACAATCCAAAGACTCCATCTGGGCTGGGAGCATCCAAGCAAGAGCTCAGAGCAATCTCTCTTCCAAGCAAAGCTCATAAAAATGTTCTTCGAGCTGTTTTTTTTAAAAACTGCTTGTTGAAAGGTTCCCAAAGTGCAGAGGAGAGAAGCCTTCAGAAGAAGAATGCCAATCTTTCTCAGGAAGGGAGAAGACTGTCCTTTCCAATTTTTCATCTTTTTTTCCCAACCCTTTATAAACTAGTCACACACTTGTTGTGTGTGTGTGTGTGTGGGGGGGGTTCTGTCTTGCTTCCTCCATTCCATGCTAGCATGTTTTCTTTAGCTCTATTGGCTGCATGAAAAATTATGGTTAGATTACATTAGGATTTTCCGCATAAAATGTAACAGGTGTAGCAGTAAAACATAAGTTCCGTTATTAGAGCAACTGAGAGTTGGACAGTGTACAAATTTAATAAATAAATATGCAGAGAGCCTTTAAATACTGGGAAAATAACAGGATATCATCCAAACTGAGAGTCTGAAATAGAAATCAATCAAGTCTCTCAACAGGTGAGGATGATCTCGTGTTTTCCCATTAAGCTTTTTACTCTTTAGAACCAAATGACTAAACAGGACTGAAATAAGGATAAAATCAATATTACTTCTTTTTCCTCTTATAATATTTAAAACCATCCATTTTGTCATTTAGATGGGAAGAAAACCAACACCACCTGCTTGGCAAATAGCATAGAGTGCAATAAACCACAAAGTTATTTTTAAATTTTGATATAGTTAAGGCTTCATTCTAAATGTGTAACACTTAGCGTTACCCATTATTTAACATCATCTTCATTTTATCAACCTCAGAAGGATGAAAGGCTGAGTCAACCTTGAGCTGGTCAGGGTCAAACTGCTGGATGTGGACAGAGTTAGCCTGCAATAATGCATTTTGACCACTGTACCACCACGGCTCTTAATGTACTGGAAGCAGACTGGCAACTAGTGCAGCTCCCATTGATGAGAAGTTACATAGCTGCCATGAGAGTCTTGAACTTATAAGCTGTCCGAGTTCCTGCCCCTGTCTGAAATTCCCCAGAACTATAGGTCTGGCCAAATCAATCTCCAGCCCACCTGGGAAATCCAGCATCTCATTCTTCCCCAGCCTAGAAACTGCTGATCAGTAATTCTGGGAGTCCAAGTTACCACACATCTGGAAAGCATCAGGAATGTCAATCTTTATATTGGATCAAGATTTTCTTTCCAGGAAGTGATGTTAAAGATATCACAGCAGGTTAATTACTTTATTAAATGAAAGTAAACTAGTATATAGCATCATAGAGAAATCTGGGTCTGTGATGGTTTGCATGTAGGGAGTTTATTTTCATTCTCTACTGTTCAACAAAAGTTCCTTCTTTCCTCCCTCCCTTTTTCCTTCCTTTCTTCCTTCCCTTTCCTCCTTCCTCCTTTCCTTTCCTTTTGCATCTGCTAAAGCAGTCATATGAATTTTGGTTCAGATACATTCACTTTAGCCCTCAACTGCAGACAACTTATTCCAGTTCTTTCCAAATATTGCCATTTCACTGTCTCTTTAAGCTTCATAGAAATGTATATGGAAGCATTTCAGAAACACCTCATGATAGACAAAAAAAAGTTTCCCATAATGCCACAGAGCTGGGAAAGAAAGAAATTAAAAGTGCAGAGAATTGATTCGTGTAACACATTTACTCAGAAATAGCAGTGCTTGTTCTTTATTTTTAATTAAGCTAAAAGGTATGTATATACTGAGGCCATGGACTTCCAAAGGGATCAATTTTGCCTCAGGAAGTAAATTAAAAACAGAAAGCGAAATAAATGGCATCTTGCTTGTGGTACCAGTCAGTCTCTACCTTGGTTCTGAGGACTATATTTTCAGATAAGGAGAATAGTTTCAAGCCAAGCTAGCTGGGCTACTGGCTCTTGGGATTCAGTCAGCAAGAGCTAAATGCATTTGTGCCATAAAGATGTAGCCACTTGAGACTAAAGTTTAGGCACTTCTGTAAGCAAACACAAACTCCGGTTGTTCATTTCCCCAGAGAGCAAGCCCATCCTTGGCTTCTTTCCACAAGGGAAATTGTATTCAGACATAATAATAGAGCCCTACATGGCAAAGTAAAAGAGTAATTAAAACTGCCATGAATTAACAATTACCAGTAGAAACTGAGGGCAGAGATAAAATTACAACTGCATTAGTAATGGATAGATTTAATAAGCAAAATATTCTGCATTCAGTTGAAAACAATCATTGGTTTGATTTGTGTTCTTGTGTGTGGTGGCGGTAGAGTAACAATTTTCTTATTGCCTTAGCACTTCAGTCTCAGTCTTCAAAATATATTTGAAGATTTTTTTCAGGGCAATTGTTAAGTGAGTTTTGCCTTATTTTACAACCGATTTCATCATGGTTGTTAAATAAATAACTGCAGTTGCTAAGTGATTCATACGGTTGTTATGTGAACCTGGCTTCCCCCCATTGACTTTTGATTGTCAGAAGCTGGCAGGGAAGGTTACAAATGGTGATCACATGATCCCAGGACAGTGCAACTGTCATAAATACATGCCAGTTGCCAAGTACCCAGGGATGGCATTCTACCGGTTCAGACCAGTTCTATAGAGCCGGTTGTTATGCTTCTGCGCAGTTCGGAGAACTGACAAATTGTGCCCCTGGCTAGCCCTGTCCCTCTCCACCCATCCCTCCCCTCCCCGCCCAGTCAGTCCTTATCGCGCATGCGCAACATCGCTGACTGCATTCTTCCCTGCCCAGTCAAGGTATGTCTTTTTTCCCCCTCCCGACGATCAGCTATTCCTATGATCAGCTGTGCCGGGATTCCCCTCACTGTCTTACTGCTTCGCCCAGGAGGCTTCCCTGAGGCCCAGGAAGGCAAAAAATGGAGGGAGGGAGCAGAACCCCCCCCTCCCCGCTCCCACTCCATTTTTTGCCTTCCTGGGCCCCAGGGAAGCTTC